GCTGCGGGGAGCGCCGCAGGATTTGGGCGAGCGCCAGGCAATGCTGCCGGCTCTTCCCCTGCCCGCCCTGCTCCCCCCCTCCCAGGCATCCCCCTGCCAACACGGAGCCTGCAAACCGACTCACATTTTCCCATGTGTTTCAATTTATCTCTGAATAAGGCATCGTCAGACACGGCACCGCCGGCCTCGCTGGTTACGGAGGGGGCTACGTCACCTGGAAGGCAAACATCTGGTCACCGGGAGTGCGTGCGCGGCGAGGGGAGGCTCGAGACAAATAATTTCCGTGACCCAATTCCAGCGCTAGCAAAAGGCAGCCCTGCCACGAGCAGAGCTGAGCAGGAGCAAGCAGGACGAGAGCACTGGCACCCGGGGGGCTGGCTCTGGATGAGGACCCTCTGCAGATACAACCCCCGAGACCAGGGGTGCAGAGATGTCAGCCTGCAGGACACCCACAGCCCCGTGGGGCTGCTCGCCTTGTGGACGTGGGGGCTCAGCCCCACCACCAGCACCGCTGCAGAGCGGGAGGTCTCCCTCTGTGCTGCGCCAGGGACAGTAGCCCCAAATTACCTGGGTTTTAGATTGTGCCCGTGCTCAGTACCTGGGCCTGCAGGGCCACCGGATCGGGAGCAGAAGTTCAGGTATCCCATCGACTCAGTCAGGTGGGCCAGAGCCCCCCGCAGCCATGTCCTTGTGTCCCCTCCCCTCGGCCCATGGCCCTTCCCCAGGTCTGGGTGCCCCCGAAGCGCCGTGTGCCCAGCCGGAGCTCCGCCATGCGCCCCAGCCGCCGCGCCTCGCCCGCCCCCGTATGGGGACATGGACAGACACCAGCTCTAATTCTGAACCTGGGCAGCTGCTCCACTCCCCGAGGTTAATCGGGATTACCCGGCAACAGTCATTACGCCTCCCAGGCACAATCCTCCGCTCCGGCCAAGACAAGGGAGGGCTTTGTCTCCCCTGGGAACTGGATCCCAGCTCCCACCCGCAGGGATGGACGGAGGCAGGAGCACCTCCACAAGGGGAGGGCAGCAGCACCCATCCCCATCAGCCACCAGCACGCTGGGGGGGCAGCAGGGAGGGATCAACCAGTTTCCTCCCCCCGAAGCCACCTGGGAGGCAGCGGGCAGTGGCAGAGGGCTGGGAACACGGGAGCTGCTGGGGGGCGATGCTCACGTGCATCTTGAAAAGTTACCTGATATTACGGAGGAGAAACCAAAGTCGTTGCTGACAGCAACGCTGGTTGACTTGCATTTTTTTGACTCGTATTTCAATCGATCTGAAAAACAAAAAGCCCGGCGCCCCGCTTGATCAGGCCCTCGAGGCGGCGCACGCGGCTCCGCTCCCCTCAACCCTCTCGGCCCCCATGGCTGCGGGGGGACAGGCTGATGGCAAGGGAGGGACCTCGGGCTTCGCGTCAGCAGGGCGACCACAAACACTTCAGTGCAGCAGAGGAACCGCCTGCCCGCCGCAAGCACGCAGCGCGCCCAC